ACAACTACTACTACTACAACCACTACTAACTACTACTACTACTACTACTACTACTACTACTACTGCTACTACCACTACCACTACCACTACCACTACCACTACCACTACCACTACCACTACCATTACCATTACCACTACCTCTACTACTACTACCACTACTACCACTACCACTACCACCACTACTACTACTACTACTACTACTACTACTGCTACTACTACTACTACTACTACCACCACTACTACTACTACTACTACTACTGCTGCTACGACTGCTGCCGCTGCTGCTGCCAGTCCTCATGCTGCTGCTGCTACCACTACCATTGCTACGACGACGTCGGCGATGACTACTGCTGCTAATGCTCAGACTTGTCAACATGTTGACATGGCGCAGTTTTTGCTTCGTTGAAACAAGTGACTAGCTGGAAATGCCCAAGCATGTGAGCAAGCCGAAATGCTACATTTTACAACATTTCCACTATGTTGGAACTTTAAAGTTAAAGACTCAGAAATGCTGCAAATTCATGACATTTGAAGCTTGGGAATTGCAAAAGCTGCAGTAATTTAGATTTAGAACAATGCTAGCCTGAGAACCGCCAGACATGCTGAACATGCTGCAACTAGCAGCATTTGAAGCCTTGAAACAGCAGCATGTGCTGCAATTTACATTTTTTGCAACAGAGAAGACTAACAGTGCAGGGCCTAATTAGTTATTTGTTGATATTGATCCGCCATGCTTATGTTGTTAGATACTTTTTTTGTTTATTGATCCGGCAGACTGGGCCTGGAGCGAGTTTCTGAAAGCCATCTGACACTTTCGCAGGTGCTCCTGCAATGCGGAGTGCACGGCGCACCAGGACTGCTGTCCCGACTACAGCATCTGGACAGCAGGTGTGATGCGGAGGAAGGAGGCCAATTTGCATACGGGGTTTAAAGACTTGTCAACGTCCTTGCTAATTCATAGGTACTGGTTTTCACTTTTTTTTTACATGCATCGTTGAGTAATCAGTTACCAGCTGAAGATTACCAGTACCAGCAGGAAGAACAACGGCACTGGAGCCGAAGACGAAGTTTTCAGATCTTAGGCCCTGAGCACTTGCTCTTGTGCATAGCGATCGCCCTATGACTGAGGCCCAAAAACGTCTTCCAGAAGCCTTTTAGGCCTAACCAGGCCCAACTCAAAGCTGTCCAACACTCCGGAATGTATGCCCTAAGCGTTGCGCACACAGGGTGGCACGAAGCCTTGAACAGTCCGAAGTAGTTCCTTGAGGTCGGGTCTGCCCAAGCTGACATGCTCTCAGCAAGCTGTGCTCCACTCTCCGGCCGGCGTTGGGGTATTGTTTTACCAGGTTTTATTCGGGAGGTAGATATCATTGTCATGACGATGACTGCCATGGGCTACTGTTGTTGCAAGCCAAAGTATCCGGGGTCTGGATGTCACGTCGGGGTCAGACTGAAGTGGCTGGACGTCTGCATAGTCCGAAGAAGTCCGAAGCTTCAGGCTGACGTTGGCCGGTCTGGAGCGCTAGATGTTGCATGTTTCACATCTCCAGGGCAGAGGCGGTTTTCTCTTCGGGCCGTCAGTCTTTCTGCACCAGCTTCAGTGTCAGCACCCTTTTCGATAGCCGAGTTTAGGGGTCGGCCTTGCCAGGCCGACCGGCACGGGGTCTCCCAGCCCTCGAATGGGCTCGAAAAGGAGCCGACTCTTCAAAGCATGGGAGGAAAGATGCTGCTCAGCAGAACCCATCTTCGGAAGCAAAGATGATCAGTCCAGTAAAGTAATCAGACAGGCTCCCCAACATTGATGCAAACCGAGAACGAATCTTGTGGTTAATCAAGGTTTTGGCCCGGTATGCTGAAAGCCAGCCCAATCCTTTGGGCAAGTATTTCTTCCATAAGTTTAGTGGGGATTCACGTTTACGTATGTTTGTTCGGGAGGCGGCGGGTTTGAGGTTCAATTTTTTCGAGTTGTGGGAACGTGACGTTCCCAAGATTCTTCTACGCACCCAGACAAGAGTTATCAATGGTTCAAGGTTTTAGGATGTCTTTCGTGTTTGCAAGACATTTATAAATTGTCGAGGATTGCTGACAGCAAGGTCAGCAAGTTTGGTAGAAGGTTTGTACAAACCGGCCAGTAGAGCTGGCAGTTCTCAAAAAGAAATGGCCACCAAACAGCCGATTGCTGTGGACAGTTTGAGTAGTCGCAAGTTGATATCAACAGTTGCAAGCTCGGAACGTTGAAAGGTTCAGCGTACTCGAAACCCCGAGTCCAGCCACGGTGGAAGGTGCCACCACCCTTCCCTCCACGCAAGACGTTGCTTCGGGGGACCCGTGGCACGGAGAAGCCGGAGCTAGCTCAGCTGTTAAGGCTCACAGGACTTTAGGTGCAGAAGGCCGCGTTGGCCATGCTGCCCAAACGCTGGAGCGGGTCGCGGGGTCTTTGTTTCTTTGGTCTCCTGGCCATCTGCCATTGCACCATGAACTTCGTCGCGGGCGTTGCCGGCGCGGCCGGGAGAGGGCAAGCGACAGCACGCTGCGCCACGACTCTCGCACCCGAACGCCTCCACGACCCGACAGCAAGGGATGAAGTCTATGGCCAGCCCCTCAACGTCGCAAAGTACTTAGTAGATCTTCATGATGCCAAGGCACCTGCACCAACACTGAACAAAGGCTCTAAGCTACAAGCCATGCAATTTCAGCTCTGGCAAGACCTGGAGCCCTGAAACCCTGCATCAGGCACCTTTCGACTTCTGCGGCGGCATGATGTTCCAGCTGGTACTGTCAGACAAGCTTCGGGATCACCTAGCACAGGCCATTGTGTTGGTGTAAACTCCCGTGCTACTATGTCGGAGTTGCTTTGAAATTGAGTTGCTGGCAGGAGTTTCGAGGCCCCCAACTTCGTTCATAGATGTTAACGCCCGAGCCCATCTAAACACCTTCCAAAGCCTGATGAGATGTATTCAGTATAATTACTTGGGTCGGTTTTGACTGCTACCTCCAGCATGATTTTTCACCTGGACTCGCTCCGAAACCTGTTCGAAAGCCTCATCTCGCTTGCAAGGTCGGGCAGGGTGAAGGCAAGCAGCCGGTCGTCTTCGATTCGTTCAAGCCCAGAATGTTCATGACACCAGGTGTCCTGGCGTGGTCATCTCGGGGTCAGGATCTGGACCTGCGTTTGGGAGTTATACGATTCTAGACAGGCTGTGTCCAGACTCTCAATATGAAGCTCCAGACTCCATGTGCTGCGTCCGGAGGCTACAAAAAGGATGCTGCAGCCGACAATGTTAACATATTCCATGGCAGAGAGATCCGGCAGGCGCGTCGTGCTCTTTTGGACCAGGATGGCTTACGATGTAGATTTTTGGGATTCTACCGAGGAAGACACTGCTGATTCTGAGATTCAGATGTTGTGCTTTGTGGGGGCAGGTGCGCTGTGATTTCTCCGATTAGTCCTCCACCGGCAAGCTTGCAGAGGTCCTAGGAATCCCCACCTGAACCCAAAGAGTGGCGGAGGGTAAACACGATCCACGGCCACGGACTGTCCACCTTCGATCTTGCAGCCAAAGGTGCCGCACGCAACTGGCGGCATGGGTTTCGTCCTCCATCTGAGCATGGCGGAGGGGGATCCTGCATCTTGACTTGCTCTTTTCGACACATTTTCATTTTCAGTTCAGAGTTTGCGTTTCTTTCGGCTTCGAGGTATCAGATCTATCTGCGCCACTTACTTCTGACAATCCGAGGAAGGTTGGACTCCGCAGGAGATCCAGGAATACGACGGTTGGGGCCATGACAGCGGCCGCACTTGGAGAGGCGGCGAGAGGTGGGAGCAGGACCGTATCATCGCATCTAACTGTGTAAAAGCCAAAATCATCATCAGCATGTCTCTTCGGTTCGAGGCTCTAGGGCTTCATTAGTTTAGCGCTCCAACCTTTCTGTTCCTGAGTCCCTCAATCCGACACAGGAGGGCTTCAAAAGCTTCCGGAAGAAATTCGGAGAAAAGGCCTTCGGTCTCCACCACCGGCTTCCCGGCATTCAGAGAACTCCTGGCTGAAACATTTTGTTCTGCGAGACGTACATTCGATTTCGAGAAGCAGTGAACTGCGTGGAAGCTGCTGGTAAGTTTGGTCGAAGACAATAATGGAACCCTCAGCTCATTTCCGCACTTGAGGTTTTACCTGCACTTTGACTTCATGAACCGCTTGTGGCTGTCTGCTGAAGATGGCTGTGAGGGACATCCTGCCCGTGTTCCTTGAGGTTGTATGAAGCAGTCAGCTTACGGGCACAACAGAGGCACAACATTTCACATGCTCTCAAGTCACAATATTACACCGTTTGTAGATGGAACAGATTCGGATGGAAATTTCTGGAAGTGGGAAAGCATGAGCCTGCTCGTGGAGACGCGTGTCTCGTGAGAATGGCTCGAAACACTTGTGATGCATGGGGCATGAGGGAGAAAGACGAGCACACATGCCATTTACCATTATAACCGCAAGGTTGAAAGGCCTCCCCCCTAAACAGATATAGATCATGATTGGAGAAGATCGAAACAAGATATCATGGAGATGACGAAAATCTGATTTAGAATATCCTTTGAATTTGACGACGTTGGATCTCGTTTTTTGAATTGACCATATTCGATTTCTATCTTAGAAGTGATTTCAACCATAAGCATCATAATTGGGGTTTCGTTTTTGCTTCGATATAAGTATAAAAGTCTTACTTTAAAGGTCTTCTAATTATTAGGACTTTCTCTATTTCTCCGTATATTCTTATATAATAGTTCATAGTCAATATTCATATTATATATATATACAATACTAACATTTCTTTCTGGTTTAATTGAGATTTAATAGAATATAAGAATTATATTTATTTATTGCTTTTTTGCAATTAAATTTTAATTAGAATTCTATATATATATATTTGTATTTATGCTCGGTATTTTTTAATTTATTAGAAAAATATATATGAGGTAGATAGGTCGATCGAGATAAGAATAGGTCTCTGAAATAAGAAAATAAGAAATAATATTTTTTAATATTCTGATTTCTTCTATAGAAAGAAAGTGATTTATATTTATAAATTATATTGATTTATATATGA